TTTTAGGGTAAGGATTTTAGAAAAAAGTATCGTCTTATAGTCAGAAAAATACGGTACATTACAAGATGAATTTGAGTTGTTTAAAATTGCAAACAAGTAGTATATTCAATTGAAAGATCTCCTGATTTCACAATTTGGTTCAAATGTATTAGCTATATTGGTCTAAAGTAATATTAAATACATTTCTTGTGATTATTGAATTATATACCAAAACTTATAATGTATCAATATATGAAGAACTATGGATTTATCAAGCATGGGATGCAGCAAAAAAGGTCATTCTTTTACAAAGAATTTTACAATAGATTTACAGCCTTGAATTGATGATGTCTGTTCATTATTTGCGAAATGGCTCTTTATGGCACTGTAAAGACTAATCAATATGACTGTATAATGCTGTGTTTAAAAGATGAGCTTTTAAGAGATTATGTTTTTCCCTTCTTTACATTTTTGTATCTTTGCTTTCTGTACATTAGAAGTTTTATGCAGTACTGCATTCTGTGCTAGTACTGCACTAATGTACTGCATTCTGTACATGCAGAAGTTTTATTTTTACATTGGACAGGAGAATTGGACTGGGCCATCCAATGGACACTCTACCCTGAGCAACACCAGCAGTCATAGGTCTGCTTGTGGCATAAATATAGAATATGCTTCTTTTTGAAGCATGCCCCCATCCTTTGGGAACAGTATGAGTAACACACTGAAAGCTGGAAGAGACCCACCCCCTATTAGCTCGGTCAGTAGTACAGCATATACCATTCTCTACTACCAGAGTAAGAGAAAATTAAAACACCCGTTTTGGAAACCAGTGCCAAGATCTGGCCAGATGTGGGAAGAGTTGCCTGGAGCTCCAGTTCTTTCCTACAGATTAACATATTGAGCAAGAGGTCTTCTCCAGGACAATGTGGTGACATTCCTTTGCTTATGCTGAAGAATTCATAAACCTTAAGCAGCAGCTCCACTCACTGAGCCTGCCTGACCTGTCACTGCAGGGATGGTATGGTAATTGCCACTTTCTATTAAAAGGAAACAGTAGCTTCTGTTAGTGAAAAATTAGAATATAGTTTAGACAAAAACTCAGAACACAACTGATTAATAGATTTGGAATCTGTTCATGTTTTCCCATCTATATCAAGAATAGATGGTACAGAGTTACACTGTTAATTTGTTTAAATCTGAAGGCTAGGTATTTGAGCCTTCTCTTTTTTCATTACCTTTGTTTGGTACCATGTAATAAAAATTCTGCTTTGAAAACTTAAAGCTTGTTAAATTCCTATTTAGCAATGATCAAATATTTAGACTGGTTATGAGATAGTATGGATATACAAAGTTAATAATTATTTAGCTTTCTCCTCTAAATATTTAGCCAACCATTGCTTCTTTTTATGTGAGGCACAATGATCATTAGACTTTGAATAAATGCTTCAGTACTGTCCCATAATAAAGAGTGATATAACTGAGTCAGAAAAAAAATTATGTTTCATTTGTTTAATAAAATAATCTAGCAAAGATACATTCAAAAATGACTTAATCATATCTAAATGTTTATCAAATACATCAGTAAAGTCCATCAGACTGTGATCTAAAATTGTAATAGCATCTCTGTCACATGTGTTAACTTTTTACATCAAAGAGTAAAGATTAAGGGATTGCCAAATTCTGGTGTGTGTGTGTGTATATGTATGACAACATATTATGAATCCAGAAATATTTCAGTAATAGAGTGTTATGAGCTACAAAAAGATCCAAAATTTTATTTAACTCGTATCTATTATATGGTCCACTGAGTTAATGTAAAGATATAGAAAGCAGTCGTGTATTTGTTTGGAAGAATCTGTGGTTGGACTATAAAAAATCATAAATGCTGATTGACAATTAATCCGACTATAAATACTGAAAAGCACCTTCATCAGATAATGTATTCCACAATCAGCCTAGAAAGCATTATTAATTAGAATTAGCACTTCCATTAACCAACCCCCCCCCCCATTTTCTGTAAAAGCCATTTGTCTTTAGAGACATGACAGTAAGGAACTGCATTTCTATTTTCATAGGATAAGCTTTTATTTCATTGGTACTTTTTGTTAGAGTGGGTACCCCACTGCTTAGTTTAAAAAAGCATGTGTGAACAGATTTTTTTCCCACACTTTGAAACAATTTGTGGACACTGTGAGAATAATCAAGAAGAAAATAGGCAATTTCTCTGGATGGTTTAAAGCAGAGAGCCAGATTCTTACAAAAGTCTCTAGGGTGGTTCTTATGAATGACTGGGCTTCAATATTTGGGAGACAGAATACTGAATTGTTTCACACAAAGATAAAATAGTTGTCTATACTCATTTACCACTTACTTAATGACTGTGATTGATCAAATATGTAGAAAATGACAACACTGAAAAACAAATTTTAATCTTTAACTATTGGGATCCAACAACAAATAGAAAAACTTGTAGAGAGGTCCTCAGAAAGCTTAAGAATAGAAAGCTCTGAGACCAATCTTTAAGAATTATTAGTGGGGAATAAACTATGGATATTTTCATTGCTAATGCCTTAAATCCTTCAGTGGAAATTATTTATGGCCTCTTCATCCATGACACTTAAGCAAATGTTTGAAATGTTTACTCTTATTTGTTTCTGATTAATAGTTATATTATTAGCTTTAAAGATTTAATTGCAGTAATTTTAGTTCTGCATTTAATTAGAATATTTGTATTTTATTATTTTGTTATTTCTTTATTTAATATTGCTGCCCGCTCTGGAAGGCTTACGGTATTCAAATGTACAGTTGAAAGAGTTTAAAAAACATGAAACAAGACATGGCAACCCAGACTAAAAACAACCGTACCAATAAAATATTAGAGGGGCTCAACAGGAACACTTACCCCCAGGCCTGGAACAGAGCCAGGTCTTAAGGCCTTCTGAAACCCCAGGAGAAAGAGTGTGATCTGTATCTCTGGGGGGATGCTGTTTCAGAGGGCAGGGGCTGTGGCAGAGAAGGCACACTTCCTTGGTCCCACAAGATGACAATATTTAATTGAGGGGACCTGGAGTGCACCCACTCTGCCCAAATGTACCAGGGAAGCAGAAACTATTGCAAATAGTAAGTAACAATGGAAACAAAGGATTTTTCCTGATAGGCAAAATATCAATATGCTATGTAAGTCCACATCAGGATGTATTTCTATAATAGCAAATACTACCAGTCAGTTCTAACAAGACCTTTCATATTGCTTTCTGTATAAAGAAACTCTTGCCCCCTCCCCCAAAAAATCTTGCCTGCCCCAACATATTGCTATACCTTCAAAGAACACAATAAGAATTCTGTAACATAAACATTATAGCAATTTTTATTGCATTACAAATCCACAGTGTCAGCTCCTAGGGAACATGCTGTGCTGCAGGCAAGGAAAAAAGCTTCTAAAAATTTTCAGCACAATCAGGAGCTGCCCTTCATACTCATATGTAAGCAGGAAGCAAGCTGAGTTTGTTCCAGGGACTATTCCATCAAAATCAAATCACCACTAGAGCTGAGCTTTCAGAATACAACTGAAGGGATCAAGACCTCCTGGCAGCTTCAGTATTTTGGTCTCTTCACCTCAACCCTGAAATTACAGACATTTATACAATATACTGTATGATAGGGCACGTTAGCAGAAACCACACAAAAAAATATATTAAAGCTAAAACAACATATCTAAGAACAAAAAATGCTGAAGGGAATTATATTCTTCAGCTCATACATGTACCTCCTGCAACAACCAAGTATCTGGACTTTGCTGAATACATACAAGATACATATATGACACAGAGTTGGCTCCAGGAGTAGCTTTCAAACCACACTAACTTTTCAAATGAAAGCAATTATACTAACCCATCAGCCTCCATCTTCTTTCTTTTTTCAATGATCTGCAGAGAGAATACAATCAGTGTATTGTGGATATGACATTAAAGCATTCTATGTCGGAATGACCTAACATTCAAGCAAAGGAACATGTAAACAGCACAAAAATCAAATAGACCAACTGTTTTCTGGTAAGTTGGATCATGATTATATTGTACACGTGAAAAGGTTTATGCCTATATTGTGGGAACAAACTAAAGAGAACTTTTAGGCATCAGAATCTTGATCATGAACTAGAAGGTGTCACAATCTGGTTAGGAGCCCTGACAGTATTTGAAAGGGCCTGAGAATAAAGGGTATTTCTATGCATGAAACTGAATGGAACAGTCAAACACAATCCTTTCCAAATCTTAAAATCTGTAAGGTATATGTGCAAAACCCTAAAGAAAACTACTTCCTAGGGTGGACAAAAGGGATGTTAATAAATAATAGGTTAAGATTCTCACTGCACTAATCTTCTTCCACTGCCGATCTAGTTCAGCCTTGTCATTGGTCTCCTTGAAACGGCGTGTCTTACGGCCTTCAGACATCTTGATCCCGTACTGGAATGCTGCTCTAAAATAAGGCAGCAAAATTCAAACACAGATAGGGAATTTGTGATTCAGCCAGTCTGATGCAAAACCTGAGATCTACTTTCTCAGCTATTACATGAGGCATCTTGTGAGGCACCCCACAAAATGTAGTAGGGATTTAATTATATTTAATTATTTAAGTCAATTTATTTGATATGGCCACCTATTCCAGAAAACTCTGGATGGCTTATAAAACCCATAAAAAGAGTAAAAGAATTAAAACCCACATAAACAGGCAGCCCAGATTAAAACAACTAGAACAACAAACAGTACAGTATAGACAATACAGAATAACAATATGACAGGGGCATGATCAATAGATCATACTACATTAACCCTAGGCCTGGGGACAGAGACAGGTCTTAAGGACTTTCTGGAATCCCTTTCCGGAATCTATTAATTATAAATAATACACCCTATAATGCACTCTATCCTCCTACCCTTAAAAACAAGTTGCAAACTCACTTGGGTAGAGCTTCTTTATTATTCATGTACTCGCTATATTCTTCTTGTGTGTCGAAGTCCCAGCGACCTAGAGGTCCTTTTTTGTTTCCCTTGAGGAAGGAGAAAAAGACAAATGAAGTAGAATTATGTGGTAGAAAGAACCTTACCACTTTAGACTGAAAGTAAAGGAAGCTGTTTTTTGAATGCTCCATATATTAGAGTATTCAGTCACTAATTCTGCTGCAGATAAAGCATATATATAGATAGATATAGATATATATGCATGCTAGGAACAAAGATTCTAGACTGTCCACAATGATATTTTTCTCCTTTTTGCAGTGGGTATGCACACACATACATTAGAGAGAAGCATTAAAATATTTTATCTCACATGGTAAAATCCATTCTAGCACTTTATTCTACTGCAGATCAAGCTAGAAAGTTAAAAGTTGCCAAGTTCCCATGAAAAACTTCAATATAAATAAATATTCCAAATGATTCAACACATATTATGGAAATATTACACCACAGAAAAATACATATTTTAAAATTATTGACGAGATACCTGATCCATTTTACTATAGTCTACTTCTTCATCACTATCCACAGCCATGGCATCCATGCTAGGAAAAACACAAAATTGGACAATAACTATCATTACAATTCCCATTCAAAGTATGTTCTGAGACACAGCAGTAACAACTCTGGAATTCTCTGCTTAGATTATAGATTCTACGGCATACATGGCAAAATCTCATACTGATAAATTGGGCTGAGTGTTCTAAGTCAGAATCTATAGAAGTAGACTATTCCAAAAAAGTTATATTCTCCTAGCCCACTACTCTGCCCCATTCAACTCAGCTAAGATGCAAATGTACTTTTTTTGTGCTGATACAACACGTTAGTTGGCTGGACCTTTTTGAATGTTTACAAACAGTTTAACTTCATTATATAGATTCTGCTAATGCTTCAATGTAAAGCCAAGCTTTTTCCAAGCTTGGGCATATGACAATGAAGTTAGCCCTATCAACTTCCAGCATCTGGCCCTGATGCTTTATTTAAAATATATAAGCTGCTTTTCATTTTGTCAAAATTATTTGCCAAGAAAATGCATGGCCCTTGGGCCATAAAGGTTTCCCACTCCTGGTCTGAATGTTTCTTAATTTAAGTTTATGTTCCACTATTCCAACATTTAAATAAGAACTCCCATTTCTAATGTTAGTTCTGTTCCTATATCCTCTGGTATAGGAGGAGGTCCCCTCAAATTCCCCTAAGTCCAAGTCAGCTTGGCCAGTAGTTTAGAAGACAGGAGTTAAAGATAGGTATTCCATGCAGAAAGGGGAGGTTCAAAGTATGAGAGCACATTAGCAATAAAAAGACTTGATAATTATATTTATATATAAACTTGGAAGAATATTCTGCATTATTAGAGCTAAGGAAGTACTTTCAGGCCCTTTCAGAAGAAACAGACTCTGAGCCTCCCTAAAAGAAAAAAGGAGACTCTGATCTTACAGAAGAGCAAAAGAGATAACACTATGTTCTGCAACTGAACAAAGAAAAAAAGGGCTAGAGAGATTCCATAAAATAAAGAACAGGACTGAGTATTTTGTTGGATTGCACCTGTGAAGTCGTGAAGTACAAATAAGGCATCTGATAAAAAAAGCTGAGAAGTCTCAACTCTATAGTCAACTATTTCTTTTTGCTCATCTAAGTGGGACTAGCAAGAGCAGCCATAACTGTAGCAACATGGACTTCCACAGGCTGGAAAGCAAGTTCAAAAATCTGGGGACTCAAATGATGTTCTAATCTATCCTTCTAGTCATGGAAGACAATTAGCATAACGATGAGTGACTAGTTAGGAAAATTGTGTCAATATGAGAGGCACCTTAGTCTGAATTCTCTGAGTAAAAAAACCGCTGCTACATGATAGGTGTCATAAAGATTTGGAACTACATGTTTTGTTGAAGGATAGCGAGCTTGATTAAGATGGTTATGGGGACTACAGAAGAAAAGCCACAAGTAAAGACTTCAGACAAAGATTTCTGCACTGTAGGAAGAACTGAGAGAGTAGATACAATAAAATCTGGTAAACCATAAAGTAAAAAATAAATATAAATAAAATTCATGGCTTCTAATGTCTGTATCCCAAAATAAGACTAAATTCTTAAGTCCAAGAATGCAAATATTATTTAATCAGAATAGCTGAGATCTGGTGGAAAAACTCCCATGATGGCAATATTGGTATATAATACCTGAAGGATATAATTTATTCAAAAGAAACAGAAGCAGTAGAAAGGGAGGGTGAGTTATATATATTCTGAAAATATCTGTATACGCTTAAATTCAAAGGAATAAACTTGGCAGACTGTTGAAAGCAAATGGATTAAATCAAGCAGAGGAAAGAATAAAAGCAATCTCTACTGCTGATGTCTATTACCAACCTCTCAACTACCTAATCAGGGACAAGATGTGGATATTGTTTTCCAAAAACAAACTGCAGATCTTTCTAGTAGCATGTAGCAGCAATGATTATTTCAATTATATTTAAAGCAATTGAAACAGACTGGATTGGAACTCAGCAGATAAATCAGGAATAGGAAACTTGGGGAATTATAATGGCACCCCCCCAACCCCTTTTGTCCTATTCATCATAATTGTAGCAGCAACATTTCCAACAATTTTAACCTGAAATAACAAAATTGTAATTTAAGCCTTTGTATTGTTACCCTGACCACTGCAGCCCATTTGCTTCTCAAAATGTGAAATACATTGCCTGCCTATTTTGTTTTGCAAACAGAAGAAATAATAGACTGTCGTGGCAATAACAATTTATATCTGACCAGTCAAAAGCAAGTTTGCCCATACAGTGAGCTATTAATAATCAAGACAAGGCAGCCTATTGTCTTGTTTTGCTCCAAATGGTTCCTAAGTACACTCTCTCCTCATTATTTAAAACAAAGCCTAATGTTCTTACGTTGCAGGGTAGCATTCAGCATAGCTGTTTAACATTCCGAAGAAATCACCCACTTGCTTTTTGTCTTCAGGTTTTTTTAATGTATTAAAGGTTAAGGAACAAAAGTAATCTGAAAAGGACAAGATTGTCTCTACCAATTAAGCAAGCACCATGAATATATATGGGGAGACCAAGCAGAATATTCAAAAGGTCTTAAGCAGTTTAGAGTCAACTATTTTTTTTCTTTCTTACAAGCTATTAGTAACAAGATCACAGTACATCAATTTGGTCGGAGTGATGTACTTCTTCCATTTGTTCCAGACACTCCAGTGGAAACGATGTATTTCCACTGAAAGTATATATATGGTGTTCTTTGGAGCTTCCCCAAGATACAACAGCAAAGTATTTTCTTTAAATGAAGGTTTGAATTTATTGAAAAGTGCTTCACAAAAAAAAAAAAAAAAACCCTACAGCAGCTGCTAAACCTAGAACCACCCATTTAGTATACAGATATAAAGGATATGATTCTGTCCCTTCCCAGCCAGCAGTACCAGCAAACTTTTCATTGATTGATTTAATCAACTCTTTGGCTGAGCCAGGTCCTGCAAAAAAAGAAATAAATTATTGACCATTCTGACAGAAGTAATACTACTCTAGCTGAGCCTTATTTAAAAGCAACCATAGCAGATTCTCTCAAATGGATCCCATTACTGTGTAAAGATTGGAACTACTAAATCAGGGGGATCTCCAAAATGTAAGGGATATAAAAAAGCCAATGTTGGCTTATTGTGAGATGTAAACCAGTCTTTAAATTCACTATAAATAAGGAAAGAATCATACAAGAAAACCAAAATATCTTATCTTTCTTGCATGGCTAACCATCAAGCTAAAAAAGGAATTCCAGTGATACTGTATTAGACTTTCTAAATATTCAGTGGAGATAAATCTCTAATGATATTGGATGGCTGAGATGAAACCTGTTTCTTCATAAATCTGCCATTCCACAGATATGATGATTAGCAATCATATTCTTCCTGCTTGCAGCCAGTTTTTTAATCAAGGTTAACGTAAGAACTTACCTTTGTCTATATCATTAGGCTAAAAGGAGAAAAGAAAAAAGAACATGTTACTCTCAAAATAGAACAAGCAAGATTAAGGCTAGTTGCTTAACATAAGAAAAGCCATGTTGGATCAGATCAAAAGATGCATATAGTGCAGAATTTTGTCCCCACATGCCAGATACTGATAAAAAGCCAGAAGCTCATATACCTCTGCAACTAGTATTTGAGAGCTTTACTTGGGGATAGAGTAATATACTGCAAGACCATTATTTCTATCATCAGAAGCTTCAGTTTCTGAATGACAATTTTACTGACAATTCTGCATGAATAATATTCAGTTTAATTCACTGTTTCCATTTAATTATTACAACCCCATCAACAATATAATTAATTATTGTTGCCAGAGGAAAGATTTCAAAACTATTTTATAATGGTAATACACAGTACTGATCAAAGGGCCATATCAAACACAGTATCTCAGTTTTATAGTTCTGTCTGTCTGTCTGTCCATCTTACCTCATCATCAGCTTTGGGTTTCTCAAAGTAGCTGTGCCTCTTCTTCTCCTCTTCACGTTCCCTCTCTCTCTCTCGTTCACGATCTCGCTCATGTTCCCTGTCTCTCTCTCTCTCCCGTTCTCGGTCCCGTTCCCTGTATCTCTCTCGTTCCTTTTCTCGTGGCACTTTTGCCGCAGATGGTACATAATCTCCAATATCTTCAAAAATACTTTTCATCAGACAAGCACATATTAAAAAGGCAAAAGATAAAACAAATACACACAAGTCTCAGAAAAAGGTATAAGAACCTTGCCTGGAGAGTCACTGATCACAAATCATTCTTTTTTATTAAGCATGTTTGCCCCCAAGGTGGTGGCATCTTGTATTGTCGAAGGCTTTCACGGCTGGCATACGATGGCTGGTGTGGGTCTTCCGGGCTGTGTGGCCGTGGTCTTGAAGTTTTGTTTCCTAA